ACTGCCCTCAAGTGGTAGTATTTTAAAGGACAAAATTTGTGTGAGCATAAAGAAGTGACAGTGAAGTATAGGAATAGCAAACAACACAATTTCCAACCTGCTGGAAACATGATTTCAAGCTACATTTTTAAATACTATAAAAAAAGATGAGATCACATGCTATAAAGTCAAAAACTGGACCTTTTTAATATTGCATACATTGTCAGAAGTTTTTCATTTACAAGCAGGATAAATACATACAATATAGTATATGGAACATACTGTATAACATCAATATGACAATCTGAACATCACTCATGTTGATTGTTGCGGTCATCTGATGGAATAGGGTCCAAACTCATGGAATCATAGTCCAAAAAATATGAAAAGCATAAACTTGTGCCTCTGCTTTCCAACATATTCTCCATTATGTCCATGTCTTCCCATATTACAGAGCCATAATGAAACGTCTGACTTGTTTCAGGTACTCTGGCTTCAGGAAGTCCTGGAGTTCCTCCTTTTTTACCCAAGCAAATGAATTCTTCTCTAGGGGTAAGTGCTTATGGCTGGACAGCACAGCTTTGAAGAAGAACACCTTGGCTCCAACACTGCCCTCTTTCTGAATGACCTTTGGGTATTTATATTTCTAAAATCCACAGGGTGCATTGCCAAGGAAAGTGGCCTTTTTATCAGCACCTACTGAGGACAAATTAAACAGAAGCTTAATAATTTAACCTGCAGCACATTCGATTTAAGAATTAGTCTTATCATATCACTGCCAGGCTGAACAATACCTAATGTGATTTTGTTAGCGAGTAAGAAGGAACTTACAGTTTTTAAGACTGTGGACCAATTCTTTCCACTAGTCCTCAACAGTATAAACCATACTGAATTTGTTTTAAACCAGAAAATGTATTCATGTTTCGTTTTTTTCTTGCCCTGCGGTGTTAAAACAGCTTTTGTTAAAGCTGACATCAACTCTACAGTAAAAAACAGACCTACCTGAAGCTGTCTAAATGGATATTACAATATAAGCATTACCTGGAAGACTTGCAAGGGCACGTTCGGCCGTCTGTCGAAGAGTCTCTCCCGTCTGCCACTGTATCTGAGGCAGGAGCCAAAGCTTTTGACTGCCAACATCCTTCTTCGCCAACAAGATCAGGCTGTCTGCTAAACAAC